ATATATATTCAGCCACCTCACCAAAAGGGTTGTTACTAAATAACAGAGATTTGTGTTAATTTTAAAAGGAAATTTCGTCAGAAATAGAACATTGGGAGAGGTTGGCTGAGGTGATATAATTAAGTTCCTAAAAAATAGGGATTTAGTTATAAGAAAGGAAATTGAATCCTTATGGAAATGAAATTCAAAAAGAAAGGGGCAGCCACGTGAGCGTATGGGTCAAGGCTATAAATGGTTTTCCAGCCATTTAAAGGAATATTTCAGTCAAAGCTTAAAGAAAGAAGTTGCTAAAAATCAGCAACTTACTAGCAATCTTCCAGCAGCTTTCTACCGACTTCTTAGCAATTAATATTTTCTTCAACAAAGGTATTTTATTTGAAGTAAGACGAAATAAGAGGAGAAGAGATGTGAAAGACTACTGGAATACGACTTATTTTCAGCAACAAAGTGAAGCAAATCAAGGAAAAGAGAGATTTCAGTAAAGACTTTCCCATTGAACCTGGAGCATCGATATTGAAGGCGAGGAATGTTGGGCCGTAGCTCGGTTTGAATTTCAAAAGAAAAAAAATGATTGAAGCAAAAGAGATTTTCTAGCAATTAATTAGGAGAATAGGTTGAGATAGAACTTCTATAAATAGAAGTATTGTATTCCATTCCAATTTGTCCAGCACCACCACAAAACATGCATTTCAACTAAAAATGTTTTCAATTGACTCTACGTCATTTTTTCCTATCAATTTCTTTATTTCAACTTAATGGCAATTGATTAGATCATTGTCAACTATTTCAATTCAGCCATTTACTTTCTTTTAATTTCAATTATGCTAATTTTAATTACGCAATTTTAGTTAGGCTTTCAATTCAATGGCAATTGATTAAATTCTTGCCATTGAATCGTAGTGACAATTGATTAAATTCTTGTCATTACTTGGCTGATGGCAATTGATTAAATTCTTGCTATCACGTTTCAGTGGCGATTGATTAAATTCTTGCCATTGTGTTTGGCTGATGGCGATTGATTAAGTTCTCGCCATCACGTTCGGCCGGCGATTGATTAAGTTCTTGCCGCCTATCTTCACTCGGCCATTCCATCCATTCAAACATTCATCAGCCGTTGCATTTCTTTAGACACTCTAAAAAGTCCTTGCTACAAACAAGGCATAAAAGAACCTTGCTGGGAGTTCTTACTAGTCTCTCTCCCACACAATCGCCTGAGAGTCAGCCATCGGAAAAAGGGATAGGCTGGTGTTCAATTACATATTTTGGGTATTTTGTACAAATACTCTGGCACGCCCGCGAAGAGTCCATCGACCGGCGTAGGGAACAAAAACCGCGCGAACACGTTTTGGCACGCCCGGTGGGACAGCTACTAAAGTGTAAAAAAGAGGCAAATATGCCACGGCTCACAAAAAATTCTAAGGCCGTGGCTACTGATGAAGATTTGGAGGAAGGCGATCAGCCAGTACAGGCTGAGAACTCTGCAGCAGGTCCTACTGATGAGTTAGCCGTACTTCAAGCACAGGTTAGCTCCTTGGTAGATGCAATGGGAAGGATGGGAGCACGCTACAACGACTTGCATGAAAATATGTCCCAACTCTCAGCCTTTATTTTGAACAAGCCGACTCAAGCTAGCAGCTCCAACAATCAGGAATCGGCTTCTCAGCCGAATCTATCACAAGCTGTTCGGCCAGAGAGGGCCGTTGAAACATCACAGCCATGGCCGCCAGTAGTGACGCTCTAACCAGGTGCAACATCAAGTCAGCCGGTTCATATGCTATTCACCTGGGCAGAAAGCTATCCTCAGCCTACGTTGGCAGGTTCTAATCAGCCACCAGTAGCAGGTTCGTAGCCACAGGTAGTTCTACCAAACCCTCCTCGGATGCCTTTGAACTCGGGGGGCAATCAGATCAGGTGGAGGCCACCGAACCCACTGTATACTCATGTGCCGCCACAGGTAGGGCTCGGGGGGCAGAATATGGCTAATCAGCCACATGATTGGCCGAATTGCTATCAACCAGCGGCTAATTAGCCGCCAGTTTTTAATCAGGTACCACCAATATTAACTCAGCCACCTCAAGTCATATTAGATAGAAGACAATTAGCTGATTTACTCACAGAAGAATATGGCCTGGAACTTAGAGGTGCCGGCCGACCAATTTATAGAACTCCTTATCCAGAAGTGGTAGACCAAGTTGAGTTCCCTAGAGGATATAAAGTCCCTGATTTTGTAACCTTTAGTGGAGAGGGGAATCAATCGACTGTGGAACACATTGGCCGATTCACAGTTCAATGTGGAGAGGCCAGTGTTAGCCCGTGGTTGAAATTGAGACTTTTTCCTAACACTTTGACAGGGGCAGCTTTTTCATGGTATATTCGTCTACCTCCTAACTCTGTTTTTAATTGGCCACAGATGGAGGAATTATTCCACAATCAGTTCTACCGTACGGAGACAGAACCTACTCTGGCCGATTTATCCAGGCTAAGTCAATTGCCTAGTGAATTGGTCGAAACATTCATTGCAAGATTCAGGAGAGCAAGATTAAGATGTCGTGTACCTCTTCCAGAACAAGAGTACATTCGTTTGGCTTTGAACGGCCTTGATTTTGAACTTTGGAAGAGGTTTGAAGGAGTTCCATTTCGTGACATGTATGACCTGGCCGAGAAAGCTACCAGGTATGAGTTGGTTCTCAAAGAGGAGAAAGAACGAAAAAATTCCTCTAAAGGTACGTACTATAGGGACCCCAACTATGAAGTTTATTCAACTGATGTGGTTGAAGAGGAAGATTTTGAAGCTAATTTAGCCGAAGTCATTCTAAAGAAACCTTATGTATGTGACGCTTTAACAAAACCAAATGTATCCACCAGTGGTACTCAGCCATTGACTTCATCGGCCAGGAAGGGTACGGCTGATACTGGTAAGGTTTATACGTTTGATCTGGCCAAAACAGAACAAATTTTTGATCATTTGTTAGCCGACAAACAAATCGTTTTGCCAAAAGGACACAATATACCATCGACCAATGATTTAAAAGGAAGAGAGTTCTGCAAATTTCATAATTCATGGAATCATACTATTAACAATTGTTATGTATTTAGAAATGTATTGCAGAAATCTATCGATGAAGGTGTATTGAAATTCCCTGAAAAGAAGCCAGATGTAATGGGGGTCGATGGCGATCCATTTCCTAATATTGTCAGTACCAATGTAATCAGCCTGGCAACTGAAAAAGCCGCTGATAATGGTAGACAGGAAAGATTACCAAAAGTTCTTGGTAGTTCATCGGCCAGTAATGATGAGCAGAAAGTTAAGGACTTGGAAATTCAGTTAAGAGAAGCTCAAATTGCCCTCATCAACCATGGTTGTTGTCCAAATTGCAAAGGCCAAAGGAATGACTCAGACAAGAGGGGCTATTTCCAATCAACCAGAAAGCGCAGTGTCCATGAAAGGTTAGGCCATCAGCCTAGACAGAATCACGAAGAAATCAATCGATTAGTATTTAGAGAAAATGGGCCGAGGGCAGTGAGAATCATTCTGTCATCGGTGGCCGATAGAGTCCTGCCAGAACAACATTTTTATCCTAGTTTCAAAAGGAAACCAACAATTCAGTCAGAAATATGGGTTCAAAAAGGAGAAGAATCTAGCCGTGTAAGAATGGTTAGACCTCCTTTGGTTGACCATGGCAGATGGACTTGAGTAAGTCACCCAAAGTTTCCTAAGCAGCCTCCTACACGTACCCAAAAAAGGAGGATGCAAAGGAAAAATGCAGAACTCAAAAGGAAAGAAGACAAGATCGACCATGATCAACTAGAAAGGAAAATTGAACCAGTGGTGGCTGAAGACATGGAGGTCGTTACATCCTTTGAGAATAAGGCATGCTTTTATGAAGAAAAAGATGATCAGCCCGACCAGGATCCAAAGCATGCGGCCAAGTACAGAATTTGTTTTGGTTCTCTCCCGGATAAGGTAAATTGTAACATGGTATTTGTTTTGCCTTCTGTGTTTGAAGCAAGGATAGAACCAACGATGAACAGGGATGTTGAGTCAGCCAAGCAGGAAGAAAAGGCTGAATCTTTAGAAATTAAGAACGATTCGACAAGTTCATCGGCCGGGATAGGATTGATCTCTCAGGATCAGCCATCTAAGGCCGATAAAATCATTTTTGAAAAACCACCTTTGTCCATGACACAGCAGTTGAGGCCGTTGTATGTTAAAGTATGGGTTGAGGGTCAGCCAATCAATAGGGTTTTGGTTGACAATGGTTCGATGGTGAATGTCATTCCATCAACTACTTTGAAGAAATTGGGTAAAACCATGGATGATGTAGTTCCAACCGACGTGGCCATCAGTGGTTTTAATGGAGGATCTAGTAACACCAAAGGTATTATACCTTTGGAAATTACTATTGGCGGTAAGACATCCTTTACGGTTTTCTTTATCATTGATTCAACCGCGGCCTATAATCTCCTTTTAGGCCGAGATTGGATTCATCCTAACATGTGCATCCCATCAACCTTGCATCAAATGTTGATTTTTTGGGACGGAAATGAGGTAAAAATTGTTGAGGCCGATAACAAACCCTTTATAGCTAGGGTGTATTCGGCTGAGGCTGCACTTTATGATGAAACTGTTGTACCTATCAAATTTGTTGGCATTAACAGGATGGGACGACCAGCAGCGGCAACAATGAAGAAGAATTTAATTAATGCTGATATTAAAGAATTATTGTCAGAAGCAGCTCGGCCGAAAATTGATATTTTCAGGTCGACCATCAAGGACATTGAAGATGTTACTGATGGATCACAAAACCAATGAAGATAAGAAGCGGCAAGCTTTCAGGGCCGCTTGCATCAGACTGAAAGCATATCTGGCTGAGAAGAGACTGGCCAAAGAAGAACAACTATATGAAGAGGTATCGGCCAGCACGGCCGATATAATTGAAGAAGGTTTCGAAAAACTGGATGCAATCTAACTTGAAGATTTGGAGTCAGCCCCTTCCAGGATGGAAGATAATAAAGCAGAGGTGCAAGATCCTTTATTGGAAATAAATGTTGGTACTAAAAAAGATAATCGGCCATTATTTGTTAGTGCTTTGCTTGAGCCTAAATTACAGGCCGATTTGATTAAATTATTAAATGAATATAAGGATTGCTTTGCTTGGAGTTATGAAGAGATGCCTGGCCTGTCTAGAAAATTGGTAGAACATAGATTACCGATCAAGAAAGATTTTCAGCCATATAAACAACCACCAAGAAGGATGTCTTCGGAAGTAATGCTCAAAATTAAAGAAGAAATTGAGAGACTTCTTAAGGCAGGATTTATTCGAACAGTTAGGTATATTGAATGGTTGTCTAATGTTGTTCCTGTAATGAAGAAGAATGGCAAACTTAGAGTTTGTGTGGATTTTCGCAATTTAAATAATGCCACTCCAAAAGATGAATATCCAATGCCTGTGGCCGATCAACTTATTGATTCGGCCGCTAAGCATGAAATATTGTCTTTTATGGACGGCCATTCAGGTTATAATCAAATCTATTTAGCCGAGGAGGATGTTCATAAAACGGCTTTTAGATGTCCTGGGTCAATTGGTACTTTTGACTGGATTGTGATGCCATTTGGCCTAAAAAATGCTGGGGCTACTTATCAAAGGGCAATGAATTCTATCTTTCATGATATGATTGGCCGATTCATGGAAATTTATATAGATGATGTGGTTGTGAAATCATCGGCCAAGAGACAGCATTTGGAACACTTGAAAAGGGCCTTTGAAAGGATGAGGATTCACAAATTGAAAATGAACCCATTGAAGTGTGCATTTGGAGTTTCAGCCGGGAATTTCTTGGGGTTCTTGGTACATAAACGAGGTATTGAAGTTGATCAGAACAAGGTCAAAGCTATTATAAATGTTAGGGCCCCAGCCAACAAAAAACAAGTGCAAAGGTTCTTCGGCCAGGTAGGTTTTCTTAGAAGATTTATTTCTAACCATGCTGGCCGAGTGTATGTCTTTTCGACTTTAGTGAAATTAAAGTCACATGAGAAATTTCATTGGGACAAATCCCATCAGAAGGCCTTTGACAAAATAAAAGAGTATTTGGCAAACCCCCCGGTTGTAATGCCTCCAAGAAAGAAGTGGCCGTTAAAGCTTTATTTATCGGCCGCAGAAGAATCAATTGGTAGTATGCTCGCACAAGACAATGAACATGGAAAGGAGCAGGCTGTCTACTACCTGAGTAGAGTACTAACTGATGTAGAATGCAGATATTCCTCAATTGAGAAGCTTTGTTTATCTTTGTACTATTCGGCCATGAAGTTGAGAGTATACATGCGGCCTGTTGATGTTTACATTCTTTGTCAGACTAACGTAATCAAGTATATGCTATCAAGGCCATTGATCACTTGCCGAATAGGTAAGTGGGCTTTGGCTTTGATGGAATTCAATTTTATCTACGTCTCACAAAAATCAGTAAAAGGAAGGGTTCTGGCTGATTTTTTGGCCGATCATCCTTCAACTGATATTGATCCATGGGTTTATGATGAATTGGAGTCATCAGCTATATTCTTGACTCCTTGGATCTTGATGTTTGATGGATCAAGCACGGCTGATGGAGCAGGAGCAGGTATTGTTATTATTTTGCCAGCTGGCAGAAAGGCTTCATTCTCTTTCTTTTTAGATTTTAAATGTTCAAATAACCAGGCCGAATATGAAGCACTTATAATCAGCCTGGAGATTTTAATTGAAATGGCTGTTAAAGTGTAAAGATTTTGGGAGATTCAAACTTAGTCCTTAGCCAAATTTCTGAAGATTTTAAGTGCCTAAGTTGGCAATTAAGGCCGTTTTATTCTTTGGCCACTTCATTAATTAATCAATTTGATAATGTTCAACTTAAGTTCTGGCCGAGAGGGCAGAATAAGGAGGCCAACAGCATGGCTCAAGCAGCCTCTGGAATAAGAGTACCAGCCGGAATAGAAGATCAGTTGATAAAGATAACACGAAGATCTTTGCCATCGGCAGAATTGAGAAATACTATGTTTGATACTTGGATAATTGATGTAGAAGATTTGGACGACGATGACTGGAGGATACCATTTATAATGTTTCTTCGAAATCCAAACATCAAGGCTGATAGGAGTATTAAAAGAAAAGCGATCAACTTTGTGCTTCTAGATGGGGATCTATACAGAAAAGGGTTAGAAGATGGGCTCCTACTACGATGCATAAGCAAGGAGGAATCATTTCAGGTTATGGCCGAGGTACATGAGGGCAGTTGTGGGGCTCACCAAGCTGGGATTAAAATGAGATGGTTGATTCGCAGATATGGATATTATTGGCCGAGAATGAGAAAAGATTGCATAGATTACTCAAAAGGTTGTCAAGCTTGTCAAAGACACGGGTCGATTCAGAATGTACCAGCAAAAGAATTACAGCCAATAATCAAACTTTGGCCATTCAGAGGTTGGGGCCTTGACCTTATTGGTAAAATTAATCCACCATCAAGCGAAGGCCATCACTGGGTGATTGTTGCCATAGATTATTTTACTAAATGGGTTGAGGCCAAGGCTTGCAAAACGGTTGATCAGCAAACAGTGATTAATTTCATGGAGCAAAACATCATCCACAGATTTGGGATTCCAGAAACACTTGTTTCAGACAATGCAACAGTATTTATATGTACTACAATTCGGCCACAACATGAATATTCATATGTTAGCCTCTACGCCATACTATGCTCAAGCAAATGGCCAGGCCGAATCTTCAAATAAGATTCTAATTGAGATCATTGAAAAAATGATCAAAGATAAGCCAAGAAGGTGGCATGAGACTTTGTCTGAAGCCTTATGGGCCTATAGGAACTCAAAAAGAACAGGCACAGGAGTTACACCATACATGTTAACTTATGGTCATGATGCTGTTCTGCCTATGGAGATGAAGGTTAAATCAGCCAGAGTTGCTTTTCAAAATAATCTAACTCCAGCTGATTATACTCAAGCAATGTTGGTAGAATTGGAAGATTTGGATGAATTTAGAAGGGATGCCTTGGATCATATCATAGCTCACAAGAAGAAAGTGATGAGGATCTACAACAAGAGGGTAAAACCTAAGTCTTTTGCTGAAGAAGATTTGGTTTGGAAAGTTGTTTTGCCAGTGGGTAAAGTCGATAGGAAATATGGGAAGTGGTCCCAAAAATGGGAAGGGCCATACTTAGTCCATCAAGTTTTAAGTGGAGGAGCATATAGGCTGAAATATTTCAGTGGCCGATTACATGACTATCCCATTAATGGCAAGTACCTCAAGAGGTATGTACCGGCAATCTTTGAAAGGGAAAATTAGTGTTAGCCAGTACTTATGGCTGACCATGTGTACCTTTATGTAATAAAAATCGGCCTATTTTTCTAGGCTGATTTGGTTATTTTAATAAATTCTTTCTCGCTAGAATGTCGATGCTTGTTTGGAGTAACAAAAAAGGCCATTTATTCATTGAAGTGTAAAAGATTACATCATTTAAAGATCATACACTAAGATGGCCACAAAAGGAAGCTAATATAAAAAAAAAAAAAATTCATATGTTTGCAAATTTTTCCTTGAAATCGGCCCAAATAACTAAGGACCGATTGAAGGCCACCATGGCCTGCCTCTTTGACTCTTCTAATTGAGGTAATTCTCCACGAAGATTTGCATGCTCGTGAGCAAGGTCTTGAGCTTCAAACTGCAATGTGGCAGCTTCAGCAGACAAGATGGCCTTACGAGCATGGATCTGGTCGATCTCTTTCTGAAGGACATGTTCTCTTTCCTCAAGGCCGATGAACTCTGTATTCACTCTTTCAAAGGAGGAAGCTTGAATTAACAATTGGTTAGCAAGGGTATCCTTCCTGTTTTTACTCTTGTTGAATTGGTTGATTGCTTCATTGGCTTGGAAAATATCATCGGTCAGAGTTGGTAACTGGCCTTTAAAGGTAGCAATAGTGGCTTGAAGATCAACCGGAAAGTCTGGGTACTGGTTGAGTGTAGAAAGCACTGCTGTGAGCTCACTTTCAAAATTAGGAAGATCAGCAGCATCCCTTTTCAAGATCTCAAGTAAAGATTTTTTGGTCTCTTCTAAGGATTGTATAGGGATATTGGTTGAAGTGACTGGAGTGGCTCCAGAAGATTCACTTTCTTTCTCTTCGGTCACTGAAGCCACCACATCCTTAAAAAAATTGCTCAAGGCCAGTAGGGATGAAGCAGGAACTTTTTGTGGAGGAAATAAAGGAATAATTTGAGTTTTCTCATACACAACCTGACAAAATGAGGAAAGATTAGATCTTAAGTTTTTTTTTTTTTTTGGGGACATGAGATAGTCAATACCTTAGATGATTCGGCTATGTCTGTCACTAAGAGTGGCTGATGACTGGTTTCTGGAGGCGGAAATTCTGGCTGAACCGCTGTGCTATCTCCCTGGGATGAAGTTTTAGCAGGAGTGACTTGAACATTGAAGGGCACCTCAATGGGATCATGAAAATCCTTCAGAGGGCTGAAATTTCTAACTGGGCTATAGACCAAGTCAAGAAGAGGAGATTGCTGTAAAAGAGAAGAAATTAAGGACCATATTAATTGAAAAGTTTGAAAATTTCAAGCACAGTTATCTTTACCTCTTTTTCATCTGAGGAATGATCAGAAGGAGTGTCAGCCACATTAATTACGGGATCATCGGCCACATCTTCTGTAGGATGAAGGCTTTCTAGATTTTCTTCCACTTCCTGTTTCTTACGTGTGCTCAGTCTTGTTCTTTTTAAAGTGCCATGAGCAGTTGATTTTTTTCTTTTTCCCTGGAGATGGAAGCTTTATTAAAGTTTGTCTCGGCCAATAATAGTTGTGGCCGAGAATTAGAAATCAATATTGGCTAAGTATTTTAACAATTGAGCCGATATGATTGTCTTTGTGTGTTAATAGAAAAAAAAAACTTTTACCTTTGGAGGAATTGGAGGAACATCAGGGATGATGGCTGATTCAGTTATTGAAGGCTGAGGAGGTTGGCTGGAGGAAATCTCATCATCTTGGGGCTCAACGTCTTCTGGATTAAGCGAGGCTGATAAAGTTCCACTGTCTGAATCTGCGAAAAAAAAGAAAAAAGAAAAAAAGGGGGGTAAGAGAATTTCAATTAAAAGTTTATATATATATATATATATATATATATATATAAAGGAAGATCGTACCCTTGAGGAGGCTGACAGTGGCTTTGGCCTTAGCTTTTCTCTCTTTATTGGTCCTTGTTGGAGCATCTGTTGGCTGAGAGAAAGGGAGTTTCTTGGCCGTTTGTTTTTTTATCTTTGGGAGGATCTTTTTGAGGCATCTTCTTTGGGGTAACGGCCCGGGAAATTACGAATGCCCCTTCAAAGGCCACAGATATGAACTTGAAAGATTCCAATATTTTAACAACAAGGGACTGGCTATCAGCCGTCCTTGTAGAAGTAATGTAAGAAGACCACCATTGATCAAAACTAGAATCTGAGGCTGGGTTTTTGATGAAGGGTTGGAATTGGAATCCGGCTTGCAGATTTGAGAACCGGGAGGACACGTTCTTTACATAGGAGTCATCTGGAAATACCATACGCCTATGGAAGTTTTTGTTGAAAGAGAAATAAGGGGGCATGGGGATCATTTGAGTCAGACCAAATTGCCCAGCAAGTTGGTTTGGATTGTAGAACTCAACTCCAACTTTTGAGTTTACTGTGCCTAGAGGGCCAGTGTTGAAGTGAAGGTCTCTTGAAAGTAAGAAACTAGCCCACATGGCCGAATGCTTATCAGCTGATTTTTTGGTAGACACTCCTTGAGGAGGAGTCAGCCATCGAGGTGCTTGTGAGCAATGAGAAAATGGAAGGAATTGGCTGATAGTCCTCTGTTCACAACCGGAGTAAAAGAAATTGAAGCAATCTCCAAACGAATGGGATTTAGGTACGGCTGATGCGTAACTTACAGAAAGTAATGGGTCATTGGCCGAAGGCCTTACTACAGGTCCGAGTTCAGGAAAGTACACTTGAAGCCAAATTTGAAATAACCAGAGGGGACCACCATAGCGTCCGACGTTGGAGGTAAGCAAGTCATAAATCCCTCTATATAAATGAGAAAGCACCAAGGGGGCAAGAGCAAGGTGTTTACCTCTTGAAAGGGCAACGGCCACATGAATGTAATCCTTTGTGACTTGAAAGGCCGGTACGCATAGAAGAAACTTGTTCAGCCACGCCAACAAGAAGGCAATATGTTCAGCATCATTCACAGGGACGCAAGGATCCATGGTGGAAGTTAAGTATTTGCTATAAGAGGATTCAGATGATTTGGTTCCAGTTTGCTTTGAAGGGAAGATGAAAGGAGAATCCTTTTCTACCAATATGGTACTTACATCAATCCCAAAGGGTTTGAGGCCGGTTAGATAGCACACGTCTTGAATGGTTGGAGCCATCATGCCACATTTCAAGTGTAAGGAGTTGGTGGTGGTCGACCAATTAAACATGGCTGCTATCATCAAGGCTCTGTCTTGGGCGATGTTAGTTTTACTTAGCTGAATGGCATCATATATGCCACAATCTTTCCATATTTCTCCCTTCACAGCTCCAACTCGGTCGACCCAATTGATCCAAGCATCATTTGGGCTATGCCATGTTCTAAAATGAAAGTGTGGCAAACTTCCATTTTCATTAGGAGGGAAGGTTTGAAGAAATGGAAGAACGTCGGCCGAAGGATAGAAAGGTGAGATTGATGAAGGAGCTTCATCAAGGAAAGCAGGACCTAAGCCTTTGAAGTCAGTACGAAGATCGATAAGGGTATTGAGACAGTATTTGTAAGGAGATAGAGTTTTTAGGGATTTCTCTATGATGTTGCCATGAGTTGAAGGATCGGTAGGTTGAGGGATAGAGGTGGAATCAGTTGATTTAGTTTTCTTACGAGCCATAGAGGACGTCAGGAACGATTTCGCCGAGAAAGAATTTCAGAGATAAAAAGTTTAAGGAAAGAAAAATGATTTAGAGATTAGAGGGTATCAAGCTAAATACTTGTTGGATGTAATAGCGGATTAGTGTAGTCGCCGCTTTAATTGGGAAAGATAACCATTAAAGCAGGTGGTTGGGAAAAGGATTTATTACTAAAATTTGAATTACAATTTTAGGCCGATTCAAATTCCAAACGCTTCGTATCATAAGTGATAAAAGCCTTTGAAATTCAGGGGGCATTTGTTGGCACCAAAACTTGGCAGCCACTTCAGCAGCGACGTGGACCAATGGGAAGCCGATAAGGGTTGAGCATGTCCAAGAATGGTCGGCCAATGGAGAAATAGTAGGAGAAGATTTAGGAGGATATCTATATATATTCAGCCACCTCACCAAAAGGGTTGTTACTAAATAACAGAGATTTGTGTTAATTTTAAAAGGAAATTTCGTCAGAAATAGAACATTGGGAGAGGTTGGCTGAGGTGATATAATTAAGTTCCTAAAAAATAGGGATTTAGTTATAAGAAAGGAAATTGAATCCTTATGGAAATGAAATTCAAAAAGAAAGGGGCAGCCACGTGAGCGTATGGGTCAAGGCTATAAATGGTTTTCCAGCCATTTAAAGGAATATTTCAGTCAAAGCTTGAAGAAAGAAGTTGCTAAAAATCAGCAACTTACTAGCAATCTTCCAGCAGCTTTCTACCGACTTCTTAGCAATTAATATTTTCTTCAATAAAGGTATTTTATTTGAAGTAAGACGAAATAAGAGGAGAAGAGATGTGAAAGACTACTGGAATACGACTTATTTTCAGCAACAAAGTGAAGCAAATCAAGGAAAAGAGAGATTTCAGTAAAGACTTTCCCATTGAACCTGGAGCATCGATATTGAAGGCGAGGAATGTTGGGCCGTAGCTCGGTTTGAATTTCAAAAGAAAAAAAATGATTGAAGCAAAAGAGATTTTCTAGCAATTAATTAGGAGAATAGGTTGAGATAGAACTTCTATAAATAGAAGTATTGTATTCCATTCCAATTTGTCCAGCACCACCACAAAACATGCATTTCAACTAAAAATGTTTTCAATTGACTCTACGTCATTTTTTCCTATCAATTTCTTTATTTCAACTTAATGGCAATTGATTAGATCATTGTCAACTATTTCAATTCAGCCATTTACTTTCTTTTAATTTCAATTATGCCAATTTTAATTACGCAATTTTAGTTAGGCTTTCAATTCAATGGCAATTGATTAAATTCTTGCCATTGAATCGTAGTGACAATTGATTAAATTCTTGTCATTACTTGGCTGATGGCAATTGATTAAATTCTTGCTATCACGTTTCAGTGGCGATCGATTAAATTCTTGCCATTGT